GGGAGAACTGTTTTTTTTTATCTTAAAATCAATTTAAAAAAAAACCGATTATTTTCAAATAAAATCTAATTTTAAAACTTAATTTGATTCAATTAAAACTTTACATTAAATTTTATAATAAAGTAAATTATGTTATTTTAAACTAAATCAATAAACATAAAAAAAACGAAAGCGAGCCGAACCAAATTCGATGTCTACGGATGTTAAAAAAAAAAAGGAGAGGGAAGAAATGGAAGAAGATGCTATTTTTGGACTCAAGTTTCCCCGCCATGCTCCGAATATGGCTGAAATCGAAGGTGAAAAGGGAGCTTTAAGAACCTGTTTGGTTTACCCTTTTTACCTCTTCATCATTTTTCGGCAATGAATTTGAAACTTTAAAGTGTATAATTACATTGAAATATTAAAAAGTTTGATAAATATAAAATATTATACACTTATTTCTTTTTTTAGAGTTGAAACGCGTAAAATATAATATATTATCAATCATATAATATTGTAAAATAATAATTATACCAAATTTATAATATATAAATTAATAATATTTTAGATGGATATGTAACTACCACTAGTTTAGACATATATTACTAAATTCTTTAAATACTTTTTTAAATTAAAATTCATTTTTCAAATCTGCTATTAAACACGAATAAAAAACAATGAAAATATAGAGGGAAAAATATACTTTTGGTCCTTGAGGTTTTGGGTAGGTGTCAATTTGGTACCTCAAGTTTCAAAAAAACACTTTTAGTCCCTGAGATTTGAAGTAGGTGTCAATTTGATCCTTAAGTTTTAAAATAAACACTTTTGATCCCTAAAGTTTGAAAAGTTGTTATAAATGGTCGACTGTTGGTTGACTTAACGAAAAAATGATCTAGTAATTAACAAGTGACTAGTTAGGGACCAAATTGAAAAGTAAATTAAAAAATTCCAATCACCAATTAATTACCACGTTATTTTTTCATTAAGTCAACTAACGGTCAAAGAATGGTTAGGGACCATTTAGAAATTTTTTTTCAAACTTTAGGACTAAAAATGTTCATTTTGAAACTTAAGAACCAAATTGACACCTACTCCAAATCTCAGGAATTAAAAGTATTCATTTTGAAACTTTAAGAATCAAATTGACACCTATCCCAAACTTTAGAGACTAAAAATATATTTTTTCCCGATATAAAATACAATATTGTCATTGAATTCTTTGCTTTTAGATCACCACCGGAGTGTCTTAGGATTGTCTGAAACGTTCATTTCTTGAAATAAATTTCTTTCTAAAAAAAGGAAAAATTATATCCTCAACACTCGAAATTACACTACCTACTTTTTCTTTTCTTTTGAAAAGTCACACTATCTACCCGTTAGAAATAAAATAACAGTGAAAATCAAAATAATTGTTATTATTTTTTTTGTTTAAAGACTAGACATCTAAAATTTTTATCGATCAAAATAAAAAAAATCTTAAAATTTAAGGATTAAAACAGACGTTAAAACTTAAAACTATTAGAATGGATAATTCAGAAGAGGTAAAACCTGAAATTAAAAAAAAAAAAAGAAATACTGAGACAAATTTCGATTTAAAATGCGAGGACAAAAATGGTAATTTAACAAATATAACTGTAAGAAGCCCAATAAAAATCCAATTTTATAATTTTCAGGCTTCTTGTCAATTTTCGATTTTTCTGGGCGTACGAAACCCAAAGTGCACGAGAAGACGGAAGCTGAAGAATGTTGAAGTCAATTCTCAATTTCTCTCTTCTCCTCCGCTTTTCACCTGCTCGGTGATCCGGCGAGGGATTTTCCGGCGGCGACGCCGTCGGCGAAGTTTTCTCTCCGATCTCTTCTCTCTGTCTGCGGTCTTACAACTCGTGCTCCTGCTGCAGAAGCGGAAGTTGAACCTCTTCTCTGCAATTCCGGAGGAATTCGAAATGTTATTTTTCACTTTTTAGCGCTGAATTAGCTGTCGTGATCTGTACATGATGAACGCCGGTAAGTAATGGACTCAACAGTTTTCCATGTTTTTTTGTTCCTTATTGAGTTCGTGTTTTTCCTGCTGCCGACGTCAATTTCTGCCCAAATTGATGAGCAAGTTTCGCGGAAAATTATTTTAACTAGTAACAGAAGTGTTTTATCGGAAAATGTAAAAAAGTATACGGTGGAAGGTTATTTGGGATGACTGATTCATGTTTGATGAAGAGCTAGGTTATATTCCACCTCCTGTATCATAAGCTGAGCTGTTTCAACCTGATGCAGTGAAGCGGTGATTTTTAGATTGTTGGAGCAAAACTCAACTACAAAGCTACTGGGATTTGGATTGTATTTGACTTTAATTTTGAGAAAAGATTTTAGAAAATTTGAATTAAACAGTGTTACTGTTTAAGCTTATTTTTGACGATATATTTTCAGTAGCTTCATTAAGTCTTACAGTTTCTGTAATTTTGTTTGGAAACTTTGATCCGTTTAAGTGATTTTATGCACAATATAACTACAGAAAACTCCTCTCTTCTAGTCATCTATAAGTCTAATTCATAAGTATGAAAGAAAAACGTTGTTTGCACAACCGAACAACTTAGGTTTTTCTTACGGAGATCATTCTTTTGTATCGTGATGATTGTAATATCTAGCTCGATTTGCTTACAAAATTCATTTCATGTCCCAACAATGCTCTCTTTGTACCTTCCAATTTTTCATCTCCGTTCGAGTAAGATTTGTGATCCAAACCCCTTATCCAATGACATTCGCATAATCTCTGATATTGTATCTATACCAGTTGTGTTGGTTCTTTTCTGGGTCTCTACCCTTAGACCTCATGATAACTTGGGAACTGGAGAATTTTGTAAACCTTTCTCATCATTGTCTCAGGATATGATATTAATGATCTTTATCGAGAAGCACAAACCCGTTGGCTGAAGCCTCCAGAGGTGCTTTTTATTTTACAGAATCATGAGAAATATCAGCTGACTGAGGAGGCCCCTAAAAAGCCAACAAGTAAGTAACCTCATTAACTATTATTTTTCTTTGGGACAACTTTTTGATGACCTATCATGCGAGATAGATGTTCTACATCATTTAGATAATTATCGATTTGAAACAGGCGGTTCTTTGTTTCTTTTTAACAAGAGGGTTCTCCGCTTCTTCCGCAAAGATGGTCATAGCTGGCGCAAAAAAAGGGATGGAAGAACTGTTGGAGAAGCACATGAACGACTTAAGGTTTTGTATTATGCAACTATTGCATTTAAACTCATTTTCCTATTTACTTTTACGTCTGATGCAGTAATTTACTAAGGTCTGGTTCTTGGCTAAAATAGTTCTTTTTTTCCTCCTGGATAGGAAATGATAGTTTCACTCGAAAGAGAACAAAAAACATAGATTTCCACCAATTGGTATTATGAAAAAATAGTCATAATTATCAAGGGAATATTTGACTTATAGGTTATAATATGTAATCTAGGATTGAAAAATTGATCCAATGTTTGATATGCGACTTTGCTAACTACGAGCTATAGGCTCACGTGATACATAAACCTAGACCTAAACCCCACATTTTATACTCTTT